AGAGCAGACGTATCAGATGATTATTTAAGGTTTAAACTGAATATGAAAAATGTACATTCATTTGCTATAAGCTATCATTTACCCAGAACGGGATCACATTTAATATGAAGTGTTTTTTTCTTTTGAAATAACATAACCCGGCTGGTTAATTACCTTGGAGAGGATTCAAAAACCACTTGCTGGGGTCCAGCCAGCTCAGAACAACAGACTGCAAAACTGAGTGATGTCTTTCCCAGCAATGTCCGATTATTAACAGGGCATTTTCATCTGTCTACTGCAGGGCATTGATGAAAAACAAGGTACTCGATAATTTATACTGGCAAACATTACAAAGGAGTCTGCCAGAAAGGCTATTTTGAGGCTATTTTGTATTTGAACCAAATATTTCATGTAGTCTCTCTGTGTTTCTCGAACAGGTGTTTTAGTATTTAAATAAAAAATCATTAAAATGACCCGGGCAGATGGAAAGCAACTTAAACCTGGCACAAAAAATCTATTCTCATTGTTTAAAAGTAATGTTTTTTTTGTACATGGTTGCTGTCAAATTCAATATATAAAAGACCAAATGGAAAGAACTCTGCTTCCTTATTACACTATTGCACTTACTTCCTTATACTTCCTTAGTGCTGACACTCATTAAACACATGTGTCTGGTTAAGACAAAGTTACACAGGCTTTGCAAGTTAGAATGTGGCTTTGTAAAGGCTGTGGCTAAATATTAAAGGAATCCTCCACAGAAAATGTTTTGAGTCTCAAATATTAACCCCCCGTATGTTTGAAAGGTGTAGAACTGGTAAAATTGCTTATCATTTAATTCTCTTTATAAGCAAAAAAATCAAACATACAGTCCCCTCCAAAAGTATTGGAACGGTAATGCAAATTCCTTTGTTTTTGTTGTTCACTGAAGACATTTGGGTTTAAGATCAAAAGATGAGTATGAGACAAGAGTTCCGAATTTCAGCTTTCATTTCCTGGTATTCACATCTAGATGAGTTAAACAACTCAGGACATACCACCGTTTGTTTGAACCCACCCATTTTTCAAGTGAGCAAAACTATTGGAACATGTGACAAACAGATATTTCTTGTTGCCCAGGTGTTGCCTTTTAGGTTGATTGTCCAAACGTTAAATAACTCTGCATGACTAGTCTAAGTTTTCATCCTTGGTTCAAACCTATAAAGACTGCATTTCCTGTTAAAGAGGATGAATAAAAAAAGAAAACCAGAAAGCTGTCTATGGGATTCACATCTAGATGTGTTAAGCCATTGTCACGCTGAGAAAAGAAGGATAATCGACCAGAGCCACTGGACAAACATTGGGCATAGCAAGCAGACGTCGAACAGGTCGGCCAAGGAAAACAACAGTAGTTGATGACAGAAATATCGTGAGAGCTGTGAAGAAAACCCCCAAAACATCAGTAAGTGACATCACCAACGACCTCCACAGTGCAGGAGTGAAGGTATCACAATCCACTGTTGGAAGACTCAGAGAGCAGAAATATAGAGGCAACACCACAAGATGCAAACCACTCATCAGCAGTAGGAACCAGAAGGCCAGATTGAAATTTGCAAAGAAGTACAGAGATGAGCCGCAAAGGTTCTGGAACAAAATCTTATGGACTGATGATGAATCTCTAGCAAAGTGATGGAAAGGCCAAAAAAAAGAAAGAAAGAAAGAAAGGAACTGCTTATGATTCGAAGCATACAAGCTCATCTGTGAAGCATGGTGGAGGTCATGTCATGGCTTGGGCGTGCATGGCTGCTTCTGGAACAGACTCATTAATATTTATTGATGATGTAACTGATGATGTTAGCAGCAGAATGAATTCAGAAGTGGACAGAAACATTTTGTCTGCCAATTTACGGAGAAATACATTGAAACTAATGGGGAGGAAGTTTATCATGCAGCAGGACAATGAGCCAAAGCACACTGCCAACAAAACAAAGGACTTCATCAGCGGGAAAAAAGGAAGGTTTCAGACTGGACAAGTCAGTCACCTGACTTTAACCCAACAGAGCTGCATTTCACCTCCTTAAGAGGAGACTGAAGAGAGAAACACCCCGAAACAAACAAGAAGTGAAAGAAGCTGCGGTAAAAGCCTGGAATAGCATCACAAACGAAGAATGCAACAGTTTGGTGATGTCGATGGGTCGCAGGCTTGAGGTAGTTATTGCAAGCAAGGGTTATGCCACCAAATATTAAATGTTATTTACTTTAAAATTATTTGTTCCATTACTTTTGCTCACCTAAGAATGCTGCGGTCTAATACAAACGGTGATATGTCCTGAGTTGTTTAACACATCTAGATGTGAATACCAGGAAATGAAAGCTGAAATTCTGAACTCTTGTCTCATCCTCATCTTTTGATCTTAAACCCAAATGTCTTCTGTGAACAACAAAAACAAAGGAATTTGTTCCAACACTTTTGGAGGGGACTGTTTTGCTGCTTTTCTTTGTCCTTTGTGAAAAATAATATAATATCTTTGAGTTATGGACAGTTTAAAATTAAAATTTCTTTTAATGCTAGTGTGGATAGTGTTTTTATGAATGTTTAGATGCTTTATTTCACTTTGTCACAATTGGAATCTAATGCAACTGCTGTGAATCAAAACTGACTACTACCGTCGTTCACAAAAAAAGCAAGCCACAAACTTTTCAAAACTACATGGTGGAGTATTTAATACTCAAATGACAGATTTCTGTGGAGCATTCCTTTAAAATCACTGAGACGGGATGTTGTCCATGTGGCGTTTTATGCCAAACATAGCTTGGACACATACAAACACATTTCAGGATAACAGCCTTTGAAACAGACTCTACATGGATGTAGATCTTGGAGACAGAACAGACCGCTGTGTATATAACATCCCAATGTTCCTGTACAACATTGCCCTGGATCCTGTTGGGACAAGATGAAAGGCTTTGTGGCCTAGTATCACTGTAAGTGCAGGTGTGGAGGCTCCCATTTCACCAGTGTCACTGCTGTTCACAGACGTTTGGGGAGGGGCGGGAGGCAACAGCGAGACATCTGCACGTTTGGATAAGCATCTGAGGGTTCAATCAAATTCAACACCTAGCAGGTAAATGTTTGGATACCTCCAAAACCCTGTGTGTGTGTGTGTGTGTGTGTGTGTGTGTGTGTGTGGTGAATGGTCTTATTTGGAGTCTGTTCTGGCTTGTCATCAAAGGAGATACCACAACCACATGGCTTCATCAAGAATGAGAACAATATCTGTGTGATCACTTTTCTCTAGAGGGTTAGTTTATAGAGCACTCCAGATTGTAGTTTTGTCATTCAGCTTGTTTATGTTAACAATTTTTATTTGAATTTAGACAGATGGACGGGCCTTGTTCAAATAAAAGCCTTGCTCATGTAGGACATGGTCTTGATGAATTACTCCCATTTATCCTCTATTTTGTAAAAGGCAAAAGGATTGTATGAGCTCCCGCACCGGATATAACTATAAAAGATTGAGATTTTATGACCGGTTATGCTTTGATTAGCTGAGCAGAACTTCAGCCAAAAATGCATTTTACATTTTCCTCTAGATACTACCGCTGCCGCTCGTTGCAGAAAGACTGAAAGAAAGAAAAAGATGTTGTGAAATACATTGTATATATTTAAAAAATATATTCTCTCACACTAGTAAGCTAATGCCATATATCCCTGGGTCATATTAATACAATGAATATCTTTAGGCTTTTGGTCTGTTAGTCGGACAAAACAAGCAAATCGAAGGCATCGCAGTGGTGAGTGGTATCTGATCAAGCTTTTTTAACATGTCATAGACGAAACAATTAATCCACAATGAAATGAATCATTAGGTGGAGCCCTAAACTCTACAGACATTAGCTGTAAGCTAGCTAACAAACTACACACTGACTGTGCCTTTGTGTTCAGTTCAGCCTCTGAATGAGGGCTTGATTTTTAACTGGCACAGGCATTTGCAGCACCTTGAATTTGCATCTTCAGTAACTATGTCTTTCCATTGACTTTATGCCTGTAAAATTCACATTCTTAGTACAGTGTCAAAATTGCAGACTTCTGCACTGGCAGAGTGAGGATCGTGACATCGAGAGCCCTGGCAAAAAAACCCACAAGGTTGTACGACAAAACCGTTGAAGCTGACTCAACTTTTGCAGCAATCCAACGCAGTATCATTCGGCAATCAAACAGGTGCACATTCCTGGAATACCTAATAACAGGAATAATTTTACTGTTTACCCCACAAGAGTTAAAACAAGGATAGAATCATTGTCTTTGTGATAACTTCAGCCACGCTGCTAATTTTTCTCAAGTGTGAGTATTATTTACTGTACATTGCCAATACAATAACAGAGATATAACAGTAGTAGCAATCTTGAAGCTGCTAGCTAGTGTTTTGCTCAACAAACAACAGTCCACCAGATGAATAGTGGCTTTTCTTTCTCGTCGGGCACCGCTTTTTATCTTGCAAATTTGAAATCACACAAAACACCTTGATAGCAGAGAAAGATAATAAAGTACATGAAAAGTTCAATTTAAAATGTGTGGATAATTCACTTCATGGCCATATTTTTTGTCATATCCTTTGACAAAAATATGGCCTGAGATGGATCTGGTTTTTAACTGGAACTGGCTGAGGCATCACAGCACTAGTACGGAAACTGATGCACGGGGAGCCCCAAGCTTCCACCAAAACAAACACATTCAAGAGAGAGGAGTGAGGATCACTCATTTAAAATATTATTCCTTCACACTGAATGAGAAGTCATTTCAGTGAACCACAGAACACTAACATAGAGAGGCAGAGACCAGGAGAGTAACTTTTCTCCTCCTGGCTACAGGGACTGATTGATTCCAAAATCCACTCACCACAGTCGGACTTTAAAACAGCTAAATTTAATTTTTCAGAATATAACAAAGTCTCCTGATGTTCTAGCATTTGACTGGTGGTTGGTGTGAATTTGTCTCCCGTGTTAGTCAGTGAGCACGGTGGGTTGGTGAGAATTTAACTCACACTGGCCGGCTCCTGTTGTAGAAAGTGTTGCTCTTCGCGGCCTCTGCAGCCTGTGCAGCTGCTTTCTTCTCCTCAAATTCCTCCCTGCTCAGGACCGTGCCCTTGTGGCCGTGCTCTACCAGCTTACGGGCCAACTCCCTGCTCTGCATGAGAAAAGAAAAGGAGAGGAGTCAGTCAGGGAGAGGGGACACGGCCTGCAGGCAGGGCTGAAGATTGTAAGATGTTGACAGTCTTGAAATCTGGCTGTGATAAGCTGTGATTGTTGCGATTTATTTTTACACTACTCTTCTTAGAGGCCAATTTAGGGGTGCAACTACTATTATCTAGTATTATTAAATGTCAGAGAGTAGTGACAATTTCCCTGAGCCCTTTCAATTGTTTTGTCCAGCAAACAGTCCAACAGCTAAACATTAACAGTGATATAAAACAACACATCTAGAAACTGGAACCAGAGAATATTTGACATATTTGCTTGACAAATTAAAAATTATTGACTGATTTTCCGTTGTTGCACCAACTGTTCAATCAGTGGCTATTTTTGCGAGTCTCCCCGCTCTGAAATTTGGTTTAAATTTGCCATTACACTTCCCTCCCCCAAAATATGGAAGTGACAGCCTGCTCTGCATCGCAGTGGGTTAAGTGTGATTTCATGCCTACAGGTCCATTCATTTTCTGAGTGTGTGTGAGCGTACATGTGTCACTTCCTCCGCAGGGATTATTAGCTACATTAATCCAATCACCGTTAGCAGAGCCGCCGTCATTAAAGCCAAGCCATAAAGTCATCATCTAAAAACCAAATCTTGCTGTCAAATCCTGTGGCTTGTCAGATCAAAGCTTCCGCCACATGTCCTCCTACCCAAAATCCCAGCAGCCGGGCCTGCGTCCGCACCCCAGAGGAAAAGTTATATTTTCCTTTAACTTTGATGTGGCTCACCAGAAATGAGTCTCAGACATTTGCTGGTCCTAAAATTGGCCTGAAAATCATTGTCTACATTTTCAAGGCTCATTGAATAAGTCTATTTGAATGAGCTGCTTCTAACAGTCCACACACCATGCAGGACCTGGACTAATACTCTACAACATCTAACCTGGCAAAAGCCATACTGGCTTTATAATACAAACCTATTTAACCACTTTTTTTGAGTTTTATATTCATAGTTTGTGACAAGTCCTAAATGTCATCATCCAGGAAAAACAGGTTTATAATTAGCTGATTTATCAGAACTTAGACCTTATCAGCATGACTGCACAGGTTAGATGACCTGGACTGACTGTGTTATGTCACATAGGGGTGATTGAGTTTGACTGTGATTGAAAGCAGCTGATTATCAGGTCAGATATAAGTTGTTCTCTACTCTGTGTGGACACAGGTGTTCAAACAAAGCAGACACAGACACTACACATATCATTAGTAAGTGTGCCATCTGCTGGGCAAAAGCAAGATTGCCCATTTCTGATAGGCGGTTTCAATTCAAGCCTATTTAGAAATAGCCAACTTGTTTGCAAGTAAGAAAGAAAAACCTGAAGAGATCTAAGAAAATCGAAATATGATTCCACTAACAAGAAGATATAAATTCTAACTTACAGCCTGAAAGAACATCTATATCTTCATTTATATAGTTATAAATATTTTAAAAAGACCTCTATCTGTGCTATGAATCACCCTTTTCTGTTAAATAAATCAGTGGACAGAATAAAGACAGAATGAGGCCAGCATGTTTTGGTCAATCTAATGGTGGACACATTTCAGGCAATAACAACATTTACATTTCCGAATTCTTGAAACTATACAATTTGAATAATTTTAAAACTTTTAAAACGTCTGAATATCTTATCATAAATTTTGGATTTTCACTCCATATTGACCATATTGCGGTATAAGTGTCTAACTTGGATTTGTGGAGTTTTGTGAACTCTGCTAATTTGCTAAATAGCAGTTTCACTTACACCAATATAGGACAAATGATTCATTTAGACTTTTAGGTGTCTTTTGGTCTTCATTTTGACAAAGACTAAGGAAATAAGTGCATTGTTGTAGCTGCTTAGTGAATCCATTGTTTAAAGCTCTATTACCAAACCTGTGTGTGACTGCCACCTAGTGTACAACGACAGACACTACACCAAGAAAAATTTCCCCTATGGCAAAGCCAGCATTTGGCAGATCACTGCTTTATGTAGCAAGAGTTATTGCGTGCTAATGAAAAACAACGATAAAATAAAATAAGAACAAACAAAAACACGTTGTGTACTTTAACGTGACTTCACGTAAGGCAGGTAAAGTAGCCACTTAAATACGCTACGTTGTTTTGACTAAGAGGACTATACGCCAGATTCCATTCAGAGTTTTGACAATTGTGTTACCTTGCTTACGGGTAAGATAGGCATACCTCGTAAAAGGTCCCTTAAATCAATATACTCATCTTAAGGACACAATGTTCACTTCGGCACATACAGTAATAAAAAAGTCAACTTTTAAAATCGAGATTTTTGCTTCATAGCATTCTTGCTACAGTAAGTTACAATTATTGCACCAGTAACTTGAAAGCAAGGAATCTCAACCAAAAGAACGTACGTTATTATTAATAAGAATGGGCTGGAGGATTTTGTAAATGCCGAATGGAAGAAGGGGTCTTGGTAATTTTGAAAAGTCCAACGTTATGTTTTAATAGCTTGAACTGCTACAGACTTGCAAAGATAACCTTAAACTGGCATCTTAATTAATGCGGTTCTGACGTGGTGTACAAAACAGAACCTAACGCTACATGGACGGCTAAAATCAGTAGTTTGTAACAGAGAGACTCACTTTTAAGTAAAATAAATCCATCGGTGTGACTCTGGAGTCTAGATAGTCTTCGTACACTTTAAAATGTGTTATAGAGCCGTGGAAACGGGCGGGTGTGCTGTACTCCATCTTCACGCTGTCTGTGTTGTAAAAGGCTGCTATGGCAACCGTCCTACCTTTACTAATGTTGGCGGCACATCACAGGAAGCGGAAGTCAACAGGTGAAGTGTGACTGATGGACCTAAGAAGACGAAAAAGAAGTCTGATTTGGACCTCATCATTGACCTTATGTCATTAAAATTAAAAAATACCTCATCCCTATATCTTTGTATGTATGTATAATTAGCCGATGTGTGCCTGATAAACTTCACTGAACTCAATTTACACTTCATAGACTGTTGGGCCTAAAGCTGGAATAATGTACAAGATGACAAAGTAATCCACTCCCATGATGTCATTCCCCACATCCTGGCAAATATACACTATTTGGCGCCTTTACTGGCTGTAAAACACAGAATAAAATGTTCAGTGGGATTGTTCCCCGCTCCATTTAGGCTACAGAAACACTGTGACTCTTGGCTGTCATTATCATCTTTTATTATCATTTTGTTTAAAATGTCTCATTCCGCATGACTTTTAACAACTCTGCAATGATGTCCACGGAAAGTGAGGTAATGATTAATAATTTTATTATAATTTCTACATGAACTCTAATGCAACAGCCATGTGACTTAAGGCCAAAAGGACCATATGCAGACAGAAAATAAGACTAAAGGAAGTGGCAGATGGCAGGCATGTTAGGTGGGCAGAGCATTCGAGATGTAAGTTGGTCAATAGGGGATCCCGCTCCTTCAAGTTCAACTCAAAAAATAGACTTTCTTACCTCAAAATAAAGACTCACTTCATTATTTAACACCAGTATGAATAAGAAATGAAAAACTTCTGTTCTTATTCTGTGTTCTCTCTTTTTCTGTCTCCTGACTCATTTTAGCTGACTTTCAAATAAATGTTTATCAAAGGATATTGGTAAAGGTAAACAGTACTGTTAAAGTTATATAGCAGTTCAACTGTGTTAAGATGATTATACAGCACAATATTAACTTATAAACAGTATTTTCTTCATGGTTATTTTGCTTTTGTCTCAGTCCTAGAAACAACATTTAGCCTAGCCGTTACTACAAAATGTCAGCTATGAAAAAGGCTAGTCCAGTAAAGATTTTTGCAGTTTCTCAACTGCTGTTTTCAAAGTCAAGAGTGAACTTTGATCCTCAAAGATTTTTGTAGTGTCAAATGTAAAAAAGTATTTTATTGCATTTTTCCTTACAAAAATCAATCCAAATTTAAACTCTTTAAGCTAGTAGGCCTATGTGTTTCTAAAATGTTCACAATATGCTCACCATATCCCCGTGTGTCACTGAGAGATGATGAACAGCCCACCCAGAGCCTGGTTCTGCTCAAGGTCTGTGAGTTTTTGCTTGCTCATTGTGAGACAGGTTCACATAAACTAAATATAGCCTACTGTACATAGGCCTACGTTTTGAAAAATTTAGAAGATTTGGATAGACTCAGGGCCGGTCTGTGGCATAGGCGACATGGGCTAGGGCACGAAATGTCAGCGGGCGCTGCAAGAGAAGGTTTTCGACTCGGCGCGAATCAACTCTGCCCAGCTGCTGTATCCACAGGTAATCGGATATTATATTGAAACAGTTTTAAAGAGTCATGTAGTGTTTTGCAATATAAACATCTAAAACCTGAGGCGCATACTCTGTTTGGGACTGTGAGCTGCTGAAGTGAACGTGTGTGGATTTGTGGTGTTTCAGTTGGTTTCGGTTTCACATGCAGTCTGTGCACTGTGACGGTCAGACTGTCTAAAGGATATAATTCCAGCGGAGCAATAAGTAATGCACAACAGAGTATAGAGCAGGTAGACTTAAATATTATGAATATTTAGTAGTGATGACAGTCTCGTTATGTTACGACTTTTGGACATGTCAGAGAACTAAGATATGTGGGACAGATTCTGAATGTGCATTGAATGTGAACATTTTTTGGATGTAATGAATCGTCACCTGCTGTCTGAATTGTGCGTTTCCCTTTACATAAATTGAGAATTTCCCACCATAATTGAGGCAGAAATTTTCCCCAGAATGCAGGAAGTCTTCAATACTTAAAATTTTCCTAGGGGAGGACCCCTACACCCTCATCATTTCTGTCCCCTCCACCATTGAAACTAAATTGTTTGGTCTCCCAATTTAGGCTATGATGTTGAGGTTGACAAGTATGCGGATCACATGTATTCATTGACCATGATTACTGACTTGTTGTTCATCTATACATGCTAAAATTGTGAGTTTGGCTACTGAATGTTTCTTCCTGTGGATACTGATGACCCCAACCCCTGAGGTGGACTTTAGGGTTGGGCATGGGGGTTGCCAATTTAAAATCTCGCCTAGGGCTCCAACATTGTCAGGGCTGGTCCTGATAAGACTTGTGAAAAAAAAAAAAAAAAAAAAAAAAAAAACACACAGATTACCGGAAGGCGCAGTAGAAAATGAAAACTCATGCGTAATGGTGGATATGATTCTAAGATGTTGTCACGCTTCAGATAAGACCCAGGAATAGACTGGACACTAGGGCTGGTTCTCAGAGATTTATTAAACAAGAGAGCTGGTGGCGGCTGCGGAGACCGGGGCAGGCAGAGCAGACAGGCGAGGGAAGCTGACTGGGATCAAGGCGGAGAAGCAGGCAGGCAACAGGCAGGAGAGAGATCCAGGAGGTGGGGGAGGAGTAGGTTTTCCGAACACAGGAGACACAGGTTAGTTAATAAGTTTTGCAAACGGGCAGAATACAGGTACAAATTCAATCTAGCAAGCTGGTAGCCAAGACGTACGAAAACGACTTAAAGATCCGGCGAGGACAGGATGTCAGGCCGCCACTTAAATAGGACAGGAACCCGAGGGAGTGCAAATCACGTGCAGGTGTGTGTAATCAGCTCCCCAGGCAGCAGACACCTCCTGGCAACCTGCAGATGAGGGAGAGAAAGGAAAAAAGGCCCAAACACAAACGCAGCCACACCAAGGGGACAACAAAAACAAAGCAGTCTCACACACCTCCAGGCTGATAAAAAAAAGTCGGAGCAGGGCCGTACGCCTCTCAGTCCACAAGACACTGAATCCTCTGCACGGTGTAGGCGGGCTCGTTGTCAATGATCCTGGGAGGAGGAGGAAAGAGCAGCAGTGGGCTGGTGGGGACAGGCTTGATCTGGGAAACATGAAAAGACGGGTGAATCTGGAGAGAATGGGGCAATTTGAGTCTGACCACTTCAGGGTTGATAACCCTTTCGATGACAAATGGGCTAATGAACCGGGGTGACAGTTTTTTTAGAGTCAGTCTTAAGGGGGATGTCCTTGGTGGACAGCCAAACCTTGTTACCCGGAGAGTATTCAGGGGCAGTGGTTCGTCGGCGATTGGCCTGTCCGCCGTAGCGATCTGAGGCTCTGAGAAGGGCTGAACAGGCGCAGTGACAACGGCGGATGTGAAACTGGACAGAGGGCACGGAGATCTCCTTTTCCTGAGACGGGAAGAGCGGAGGTTGGTATCCATAGATGTGCGTCTATGGAAACGATGACAAACCTGTGGCTGATAATGGCAGCGTATTCTATCCAAGGTAGCTGTGAGGCCCAGGTTTGTGGGGTTGGAGGAAGTCAGGCAATGCAGTGAGGTCTCCATCACTTGGTTGGCCTGTTCAGCTTGGCCGTTGGATTGAGGGTGAAAGCTGGAGGTCAGGCTGACGGAAGCCCCCAAGGCACGGCAGAAGGATCTCCAGACCGCAGAGGTGAACTGGGTTCCTCGATCAGAAATGATATCTGTGGGCAGACCATGAATGTGAAACACCTCCCTCACTGGTACTTCAGCGGTTTCTTTGGCAGAGGGTAGCTTGGCCAGAGGGATGAAGTGTGCAAACTTACTAAAACGATCAATGACAGTGAGGACCACAGTCTTACCCTCTGATGGGGGAAACCCAGTGACAAAATCTGCAGCAAATGGGACCATGGTCGACGTGGGATGGGTAGCGGGTGCAGATAACCAGAAGGGGGCTGATTGGAGTTCTTATTTTGGGTGCACACCGGACAAGCTGAGACGAAGCTCTTAGTGTCAGCTTCCATGGTTGGCCATCAGAATCTTCTACAGAGAAAGGAGAGAGACCGGGCAACACCAAGGTGGCAGGTTAGTTTAGAGGCGTGAGCCCATAGTAATACTGAGGACCTCACCGGTTCGGGTACATAGGAGTCCTGCCGGGCAGTTACTGGGGCGACTCAAGAGAGCTGCATTGACCTGCCACTCCACCTGCCAGGCTACCACCCCAAAAACACAGGAAGTGGGCACAATGGTATCCGGGGTGCTCGTCGGTCCCTGTGCTGCAGAAGGAAAGAAGAAAGAAAAAAAAAAAACACCAGAATGCCCACCTGGCTTGCCTGGGGTTCAGACGCTTGGCGGACTGAATGTATTCCAAATTCTTGTGATTAGTCCAAATAAGGAATGGATGCTCCGCTCCCTCCAGCCAGTGCCTCCACTCTTCCAATGGAAGAGTGACTGAGTAGCTCCCGGTTTCCGACGCCATAGTTACGCTCTGCAGGGGACAAAACGACGGAACAGATAGGCACAAGGGTGTAGCTTACCATCAAGGGCGGAGCGTTGAGTATGGCCCCCACGCCGACGTCAGAGGCATCCACTTCAACAATGAATTGCCTGGACATGTCCGGCTGAGTGAGAACCGGTGCGGATGTGAAACATTGCTTAAGCTCCTTGAAGGCAGCCTCTGCCTCAGGGGGCCATGCAAATGGCTTAGCCGTGGAGGTCAGACGGGTTAGAGGTGCTGCGACTTTACTGAAGTTCCTGATTAAGCATCTGTAAAAATTAGCAAAGCCCGAAAACTGTTGCAACTGCTTGTGATTGACAGGCCGAGGCCACTCCAAAACAGCTCTCACCTTAGCTGGATCCATCCTCATTTGTCCCTCTGCAATGGGCTAACCCAGAAAGGACACGGTGTTGGAATGGAACTCACATTTCTCTGCCTTGACAAACAGCTTGTTCTCCAACAACCTCTGCAGGACCAAGCGGACGTTCTGGACATGATCTGACAGACTGGGAGAATGAGAATGTCATC